TCACCTGAAGTTCAAATGAGGTAATCTTCAAAATGTCTGACCTGTGGGTTTGCAGCTAACTCAGCTCTACTGATAGGGTAGGAGTCTTAGGGAGTGAACTCTCTCTAATTCAGTGTTTGCACAGGCTTGGGAGAGAGATCTTTCCATCAGGTCCAGGTCAGATGCTAGGGCAATTACAATTTATGGGTAAAATAAAGAGAATCGGGAATTGTTTCAATTGTGTCTATTTTTCAGCACTTCCTAAGACACGAAAAGAAACAATGTGCCTCATAGTCATAGGGAAACTGGTCACCAGAGAGCGACTGATGCTGGATTTGGCAGCACAAACATCAAAGCTGTAATTATAAATAGGTTTAAAGAATGAAATGAGACCGTGTTTAAAGAATTAAAGGAAAAACATGATGGTCATGACTCATGTAGGAACAGAAGTAGGAACCCTCAATAAAGAAATAGCAAGCATGAATGGAGACCCCAGTGGTCCAATTTCTAGATCCAGAAATTAGAATAAGCTAAATGAAACTGTCACCAGGTGGCCTCAACAATAAATCTGGGTGAAATAATGAAAGGAATGAACTATAACCTTGAGAATGGATTAATAGAAATTGTCCAGTCTGAAGAAGAGAAAAAAATATTGAAGAGGATTTCCAGGTAAAATGGCAGATTAAGAACCTCTTCTACAAGATCTACGAGATCCAATAAAAGAGTACAGGTGTGTGTGTGTGTGTGTGTGTGTGTGTGTGTGTGTGTGTGTGCCTGTCTCTGTGTGTTCACAATGAAGTCTATTCCACAGAGATAATCCACTGTGAATGAACTTCCTGAGCCTGGAGAGGCCTCTCTGAGGAAGCATCGGGAGCAGCAGTACCCACAAAAGTGTCTCCTGACCTCAGTAGGAACTGCTGAGAATCATTGCTTCTTGTACACACAGACACGGTAGGAGCAGTAAACTGGACCACCAAGGATTAGATGGTTAATTGTAGATTGTAACAACAGCAGACGAGTTTGGACCCAAGGAGCCGGTCCACCTGGGAGCAGCAGAAACTGACAGGTAACAGGCTGTTTCTCCCCCACACCTGCTCTCCACCAGGCTAAGACTGGCTCTATCAGGGTAAGTTCTGATTCCCAAGCCATTATCTTAAAGGCTCAGGGCCTCATGCAATTTTCGGGCTGCCCCACGAAAGGACACAGCTGTGCCAGACTCCTGCCTTGTCCTGTAGGATTCCTTTTTCTGATGATGTTCTGTTCAGGGAATTTCTCACACCCCAGTTTTTTTTTTTGTTTTGTTTTTGTTTTTTTTTGTTTTTTTTTTTTTGACCCAAAGTAGACACATTGCACCATTGCACTAGGCTTCAGGTTCCAGACAGACTTGCAAAATGTACCTACAATTTGAGGCCTGATCCCCAAACACCTTTGGGCCGCCTTTTACAAAATCTTTTAACTTAGGGCTATCTGACACTGTTAGGAGTTTTTCCTAACGCGAGCTCTCTGCCTATGCAAATTCCCAATCAAGCCAAATCAAAACAAGCCAAATTAAGAAATACCCAGGTTTAATGGGATTCCTGCACTTTTGGGTGCCCCCCCCCCAGTGGGAACTGGGAGGCCACTAATGCAACCTCAGAGGGGAAAGGAAAGGGAGCACGTGATCCTCTTTTGGGAGTTCACTTAAATACCCTGTGGGAGTGGTCATGACCCCCGCCCCCAAGGAGGGGTCAGGACTTGGCATGCTGGCATTTGGAGTCCAGACCAATACAACTCTCAGGCCTGGGGGCTGGGATCTACACTCCCAACTTAACAGACACTGTATATTCTTGATGCCTAAAAATTCTTGCCAGCGTGGGAACAAGTGAACAACCCCTCATATGCTCATGGTTTCTGGATATTGTGCTCCCGCTCCCTCCCTCCTCCCTGCTTCTCTTGCTGTTTGCTGTCCTTATGCGTTCCTGGCATGTGATCTGGTCATGCTGGGATTCTCCCTGCAATGGATCCGTTCCCCCTCCTCCCTCTATGAGCTGCATAGGTGTTCCATCCTTATGCATTTCTGGCATGTGATCTGGTCACGCTGGGATTCTCCCTGCAATGGATCCTTTTCCCCTCCTCCCACTCTGAGCTGCTTAGGTGTCCTGTCCTTATGTTTCTGTTCTCCTTACAGCCTCTGCTGATCTGGCCCTCAGTGGGATCATCTGTGTGCTCACCTGGATTCTGCAGTCTACTCCAGGATTTTTAAGTTGGTCAGCTGACACAGGTTCCTGGAAAAAGTTTTGGTCATCTGTCCGTTAATATATATGTGTTAATAATGGGGCCACAGTATGCTTGTTATATGTTTGTATGTGTGTATGTGTGCTTGTTTTAAAATCTGTAGAACTTATAACTCAGATTATGACAGCTGTGGAAAATTACAAATGTGGATAGCTGCCATTTTTGGTTGAGATCAAAACAGAAACCTCAATGCCATCTTTGGTAAATATACCCATGTGTTCTACCTACCAACGAGACATTCTGCCTCCAATAAACTTTGGCTTACTGAAATATTTCTTCTAATCTTCTTGCCTCTACTGACATTGGTAAGCTATAACTGATTGGACAAACTCTATGTCTAATTTACATTTACCTGACAGGTAATGGTGCCCTGACTCTCAAGTGCCTTTACAGATCTAAGAGTATGGCATTTAACAAAGGAGATTCTTATGAAGGAGATGCATGCCAGCTCCTGCAGCATCCTATAGCTCCTCCAAGAAGGTGCGTGTTTGAACTTCCTCCTGAAGGCTTGACTTTGGATATGGCAAATCCACTCACACAGCAAGAAAAAAAAACCTGCCTTCTACCTCATCAGCTTCCTGGATACTACACTGGGGGAATCAATCATTTCATCCTGCCAAGACAGGTATACCGAACCCTACCCCCTCAGGAAAATTTTTCAGGCCTTCTGGGCTCATCAGCTAAAGGCAGGTACTGCTTCTAAGACTGTTGTTCACCGAAGACTACGGAGAGACTTGGGATTGCCTGGGTAGATGAAAAAAGCTGTCTCACTTCTGCTTATTACTCTTCCCTCTCAGTCTGTCTGATGGCATTTGATGACATAAGGTACTGGTAGCTCATTACTTCATTTGTTAAGTTTCGTGCTAAAAATGCAGACAGTTGTGCCTCTTTCTCAGGCTTCATAGTCCAGAATTAACAGGCTTCAGATGCATCTTCAGAGATTCGGAGTCTCCAGTTTCCTTTAATTATCTTCTAAAATGTTCATGCCTGTTAACCTAAAGACATACATAGCCTTTTGCTATGACACCAACATGTAAAACTGTTCCAGCTTACAGATACCTGCAGGGAAACGTTCCTGGGAAAAGTTCTGCTGCCATATCAAGAAATCTGGTCTGGTGAAAACAGTCTGCAGAGCCTATTTTGACCCCACCCATTTTCAAGCATGTTTTATAGATCACTCCTCCTGCCTGGGCCAAGACCAACCTGCAGAGGATTCTCCAGATAACGCCAACACCTACACCAGCTCACCACCTCCTGGGACTTCACCATTGGTACCACCTCTCCAGGCTCAAATGGGCACCCACCCAGCAACTGAAATCTGGTTTTAAAGGGCACATCTGCTCTCATCTCACTCATTCACCCCTGCCTCCCCTGTACAACCAGGGCACTTCTCCATCCGATTCTTTCTGGCAGTTAATCACCCTTTCCCTGGCTAGCCCCATTCACAGGGCCAATAATAACAATATTTTTTTCCTCCTAACAACCTGCCTTCTCGTCTCCCTCGAGGAACAAATGCCTGAGGTGTCCAGGATGGCAGTTAACCGGATGTCTCTCCAGCCACACCTCTCGCTGAGCTTGAGACCACCAACTTCCAACTCTCCCCTCCCCCATGTCTCCCCATGCCCATAGGAAGTAACCAGATTTGAGCTGGTCCCCCTATACCCAAAGAGTCTGGGATGTTTGGGTAGAAGTTCTACCCCAAGGCCCTCCCCTGGGAGTTGCCTCAGTCCAGACTCTATCCTCGAGAATGCCCACCAAACAATGACCCCTTCCCAGAGATACTCAAGACCACCCCCAAAGGGTATTTAAACTGCCCCCCCCAACAAACACGTGGTTTTCAGGTCTTCTTTCCTCGGCTCCTCTCTGGGGTACTGGAAAGCCTTCTGGGAGCATTGATATCCATTAAATCTGGCATTTTCTAACTTGGTTTTATTTGGTCTGATTCGGATTATTGAGTTGGTGGAGAGGGTTATCAGGATGCAGGAACTCTTCAGACCCCCCAGTGGTCCACATTGCCAGCCACGGGCAGTGCGGGCCAGCTTTAATTGAAGATGGAAGCAGGGCTGCACTTTTACATTTTAAAGGCTGGTGAGGCCATTTAGCCTATTCTAGCCTTCCCAGAACTGCAGGCACAGAAAGCAATTTTTCAGCTTCAAGTGTTTTCCTTTCTGCTCTCGGGGTTGGGTAAAATGTCAACCTTCTGTTCTTTCCTTGTGTTTTTGTTTAACGTACTCAGGGAACATTTGGTCCCTGCAGAACCTAAAGCATTTGCAGGAGCTGGGAGAGGTTCACAAATTGACTTCAAATAAGGACAAATGCCCACTCAGCGTGGAGAGGCCCTCACATCCCGGGGCTCCCTGGTTGCCTTTTGTCCATGTTTTCAGCTTGGCAGGCTGCCTGGGGGTCGAGGGCTTCCAGGAAGCTGTGTTCATTTGTGTTTTCAGTTCAACAGCACACGAGCTAATTGTGAAGAAAGAAAGAAAGAAAGAAAGAAAGAAAGAAAGAAAGAAAGAAAGAAGGAGTCCAGAGGGTCATGGGGAGACCACACTGAAAGGAATTGGCAGTAGAGTTAATAGGGAATAAGAGAAGAAGACAAAGGATGTTGTGAAAGCCATGATTAAATACAGAAAGCACTGAATTCCAATACCGCACGACCTTAGCAGGTCCTTTGGCTTCTGCAGAGAACAGGAGTCTCCAGCCTGCTGCTCTGACTTGAATTTTATGCTGTGTTGATCCCTAAAAAAAAAAAAAAAAAAAAAAAAAAAAAAGATGCTTCTTTGCTTAGATCCATGATGGCTTCCAGCCTGCATGACAGTTCTAACAGGGCAGCACGGCCTGGAGAGTCGGGTAGAGCTGAGAGCAGAATGAAGTCGGCTGCGGCGCTGCAATGGTGTAGCCCTGACTTGACTGCGGTCCCTGCCTCTGTGGTTTCTGATGACTCTGAGCACAGTACCCTCTCACATCAGGCTCTTAACCCTTCCTGACCAGAGCTTGCTTCCATCTTTTCTTTCTTTTAGAAGGTTTTGGGGGCTTCAGTTAGCCAGGGTCACGCCTATTTAAAAAACCTCTCCACTGGTTGGTTTTCCAAGATTCTTGTCTCCCTACCCTTGTAGCTGATTCTTCGGACAGGCCCTAGGCTAAAAAGACCCCTCTGCTGCCCAGGGATCAAATAGCTAGGCTGTAAGCAACAGTCATGTGACAGAGAGCCTCCCTCCGCCTCTAAAATGCCTAAGAAGGGACCCTCACTCTTCTGTGTGGGCATTACTATCTCTCCAGTAAACTGCAAGCCCCCCCCAAAGATAACCCATCTTACTGTCACCTTTGAAACCCTGAACCTGAAAATGTGTAGCCTTGGGTGATTAATTCATTCAGAAATTGTGTGTATTCTACATTTAACTTCACACAGACTTACTAGCCTCAAACATCGAACTCCTTAAAGAATGTTGGGGTTTTACCCTTCTCCAGCCGGGTGACATGATTTGGAGTGGGCCACAGAGCCAGGCTGATCTCAGAGTTGGGGTCAGAGTTGAGGTGGCCCTAGGCTTTAGAACGGGACCAGGGCATGGGCAGCCCATCAACTGGGATGTTCAGGCTTCAGAAAATGGGGAGGGGGCAGAAAGTCCCATTGTCCTGTTCGAGTCTGTGACCTCAGCCCTCTTCATGATGAAGCCAAAACCAGACAAGTCCTCTGTGGTAAGTGAGATGCCACCAGGCAGGCCCTCCGCTGCCGAGAGTAACAGGGATCATGGTCCTGCTCTGGAAGAAAGGTGTGGTGAAATTGGGTGGTGTGCTTAGCTTGGCTCCATTTCCTGCAGAATGAGAAATGAAGGCCAGAAAGTGAAAGTCAGCAGGATGGGAAAGAGGAAAAAGTTCATCTGGGAGCTGGTGTTCGTCTTCCCTTGAGGTGGCAAAATCAGTTCCTCTTCCCCTTGCTGCCGGGGGAACCGAGCACCTACCACAGCCTGGCCTGGGGGAAGTGGATCTTGTGATGCTGGGTGAGTGGGTTAGGGAACATTCTTTCGCAGGGTGGAAAAGGCAAGCCGGCAGCTGCCTCTGATCTTCCCTGAGTGGGCAATGTAGCCACTGTGCTCAGACACAGACAAAGGGAGTGATTCTCAGCAGTGGGAAAGAGGGCACAGAGTTCTAAGGCAAATGTGAGCGCTGTGCCCTTGCCAAGCTTGGATTAACGCTGAGCACCCTCCTGTTTTAACAGCCTCCATTGTCACTTTCATTTCTGCTTATCCACGTCAGCTACATTGCGTGTGTGACCCGGGACTGTTACTGTGTGAGAAACATCCCCTGTAGGCTCATGCATTTGAACAGTTGGTCTCTGGTTGGTGACGTGGTTTGCAACGTGGAGATCTGTTGAAAGAAGTGCATTGCTGGGGGTGGGTTTTGAGGTTTATGGCTCTCACCCACTTCCTATTCTCTCTCTCTCTCTCTCTCTCTCTCTCTCTCTCTCTCTCTCTCTCTCTCTCTCCTGTGCTCTGGCCACCATGCCATCTCCACCATTATAGACTCTGAGCCTCTGGAACCATAAGTAAGCCCTATTCCCCTAACTTGCCTTCTGTCAGGGTATTTGGCCACAGCAACAGAAAAGTAACTAAGAAAAGGACCAAGCTCCAACATCTGCCACCTCAGTTAGCCAGAAGCCATGTTGGTGCCCTAGCTGGTCTCAGTGATAGTCTCCTTAACTTCTATATCATTTGTATAATACAAGTCTTTGGGATCCCTAGAGTTAATTGCACTCCCATCACATTGCAGAGATATTAAAAGCCTCAGATATTAAAGCCCCTTATTTAAAATGATGTATAATAGTATTTTCATATTGCCTAGACCCACCTGTCCATATACTTTAATTTGTCTCTAGATTATTAATAATACCTGATATGAGGTAAATGCTATGTGAATAGTTTTATGGATTTCTAAGGAACTAATATCAAGAAATTATATTACATGTTCAATAGATGCAATTCTTGTTTTCCAAACAATTTCCCATCTGCGCTTGTCCAAGTCTGCAAGCATGGAGCTCGTGGACATGGGAGGATACCTGGAGTTATTACTGTCCTCATGATTCTGCACATGTCAACTGGACGTCATTTTGTGTGTGACAGAATGAACTAAAACCAAGCCCACTGTTTAGACAGGCATTCTGTTAACGCCAATAGCAGCTAGTTGGACTCAGTTACCTTCTGTTCCCTCCCAACACTCACTTTCTTTGCTACATTGCAAAAAGATACAAAACAAAAATGATAAGTAGTTGTAAAACCTGAGCTGGGAAGGGAGCTGGAATTCCAAATTAGTGAGAAAAGGAGTAAGAAACCTGCCGTCTTGGGAAGGCTTTTCATTTCCTTCATATATTACAAGGCAGTTGAGGCTTGCTGCTAGCTGCAGCCAGGCCTGTCCTGCTGCAATAAACAGCCGCCTGCTCGGAAAAGACTACACATCACTAATCCAGATATATAGTAAATCTAAGATATGGCTGTTTGGGAAGAGAACACATAAAATAAAGATAACAGTACTTAAGAACAACAGGCTTGGGCTGAGGAAACAAGATTGGCTGGAAAGAAAAATTAAGAACTGATGGTATAAGATTAAAATAGAGACATCAAAATGGAAATTTAAGAAATATACTAGTCCCCAGGCGGTTTAATTGCCCTTTCGTTTTTAAATGATGCATTTATTTTCATTTTATTTGTATAATTGTTTTGCCTGAATGTGTGTATGTATACCACATATGTGCCTGGTGTCCACAGAAGCCAGAAGAGAACATCCGACCTCCCGGAATGGAGTTACAGATGATTGGGAGCTGCCGTGTGGATGCTGAGAGGTGTATGTGTGGAATCCATTGGTTTCACTTTTCAGAGTGTTTATTCGGTGTCTAGTTGTTATTGTGCAAAGCTGTCTTATGAGTCTAGACAGTGTTTGGGAATGTTAATCTTACCTGGTTATTTAGCTTTTAGGGGGATGTGAAAACGCTGGCCAGGCTTTTGTTTCGTAGGCTCGAAAGCATAGATTCACAAGTGCCTGCACCTCCGTCTTTCCGTTCACTCTGTGGATTCCTATCACACAGCATCGCTGGACAGCAGGAAGAAGACATTACGTTGCAGAGGGACATCCCTGCTGTGATACAATCTTTTTCACAGCCAATGCTATCTCAATGTTTATATTTGCCAAGAGAACATTGGTTTCCTAAGTCCTCCCTCTCATCTTTAAGACTGGAGTTCCGCATTAGGCCACAGGGTGGCAGATTAATAGCAGGGGAAAAAAAAAAAACCTGAGCTCAAGAGTAGTAGAGAACCGGCTTCCACTGAGGTAAAATAGAGGCATGAACAAAGAAGGTTCTGTCTCCACGCTGTGTGTGTGGTCCCTTCCATGATCCAAAGTTACATTTGCTAAATAAACTCACATCCTTTTAATCATAATATCCTTTGAAGCATGGGGGGGGGGGGACTCCTCTACAGACTGGTTAATAATGTTTCTGAACACACGGTTGACTTGTATCTCCCCTGATGGACGCCTACACTATTGCTCTAGGTTCAACGCCCACCAGAGAAGTCAAGCTTTTGGTCACTGTCAGTCAACCGCACAATTACCACCGGGGACTTCCTTTGCACACACACACACACACACACACACTGTCACAGTTGAGTCAAGGCCCATCTTGGGAACCTGACGTCCTTTGGGGTTCCTGAGACCATTCCAACTGTTCCACACTGTCCTCTGGGTGTCCAGCCTTGCTTCTCCCCTCCTGCTGATGTCAGGGCCACCTCTTGACCATGACTCATTAGCTGTGAGTCGAAAAGTAGGTTCCAGAACATGGCACACAGGGACCTTTCCTGCCTGACTCACAACCTGTACATATACAGACACACACACTCATTAGTTCAACGGCACTGACATTACTCGGTATCAAACATACCTCCTTTTCCATCTGTTTGGGTTTTTTGTATCATTCCCTCTATCCACATCTCTGCCTGGCAAGCACCCAGCCCATGTAGTGCCTTGCTCAACACTCTCAGGTAAACAACACCCTGCCGAGCTGACTCTCATGTTCTGTGCTAAACTTTCTTGCATGGGACCCATCCCTTTATTGTACAAATAATAGATTTCCACATGTCTGTTTTTTTTTTCACTAAATGTAAGCTCTTTCACAAAACATTCGAGCGTGGGATTTCTTTGGAGAAGCAATGTAGTCCCACTGGAGACAGACGCTGGATGGAACCTTGACAGTAAGCCGCAGCCACATGGCGATACACAGATTAATGGAGATGGGTTAGTTTAGGATATAAGGGCTAGCTAAAAATATGCTATTGGCTAAACAATATTACAAATAATATAGTTTCTCAGTGATTGTTTCATGGTCTGGGCAGCCTGGAAGGAACGAACAGCCTTCCCCCAACATTCAAGGACTGGGGTGAGTGTTGGGCAGAATGTTATTTTCCTGATAAATATCCAAAAAACATAATGGAGGTACACACGTTGGCACCCACAAGGCGAGAAGATATTACTGGGAAAGATGGTGTCTGCTGGAAAAAGCCTTGGCTAGTATTGATCCCTTCCTCACCAAGGACCTGGGCCAGGAGGAGAAGCAGAATGGCTTCCTGGCACCCAGAGGGAACCCCAGTGTGGGAACAGGGAAAGCCTTAGTGACCAGCACTTTGTACTTCACACGATGAAGAATAATAGGGGCACACGCTGTTCCAAAAATTGATCCCTTCCCACACTCTCCTGCTTTCTCCTGCACCCTGTCTCTACTTGCCGAGACACAGTAGATAGATAAACCCCTGCATCTCATATTTCAGTACGCAGAGACTCTTACCTTGTGGGTAGTTTCAACAGAACAGCTATTACTGATATCGCTTGAGCCAATTGTAGAAATAGTCTATGATGTCTGAGGACAAAATCTTGGAAATCATATTGAACGATGCTAAAATATCATTAAAAAACTTCATTCAAAAATAAATCCTAAGAATGGTGTGTTGGTTGGCAGTTTTCTTTTTCTGTGACCCAAAAGTGTTATGGGGAGCCCACCCAGCCACTTAGATCTCCAAATCTGTTCATCTTTGTTGTCTACCACACCCTTCTTTCTCTTGAGTTGGTTCCTCCCTGTTAGCAGCTCACAGCAGGTGCCAGCTCTGACATCTTGAGTTCTCCGAGGCAATCCAGGCCTCAGCTTCACAACCTCACACGGTGACCTCTCTACTAGACCTGCATTCAGGGACACCCCTGACACATACCTGGCCCCAGAAGTGTTATTCCTTAACTCCTTTCTTCTCCCCTTACCTCTAAAGCCAAATAACCACACGGCTGAAGCTGCCAAGTTCTGCTGCTTATTGGGGCTGGACCATGGCTCCCTCGTTGTTCAATCCCATCTTCACCATTCTGTCCTTCACTGTCTAAGCGTGGCTGTCCTCAAACTTGCTCTGTAGACCAGGCTGGGCTCAGACTCAGAGATCTGCCAGCCTCTGCCTTCCCAATGCTGAAATTAAAGATGTGCTCCACCACACCTGGCTCCAAGCTTTTCTTCAGTTCCTTCTCACCAGTTGGAAACTTAGCTGTGTAGAATCTTGCTTTTAGGTCACCATGTCCTTTATTCCACTTCTTAATCCACTTATCTCCTTGAACCCAGCATTTAGCTCCATTCCACTTCTTGGTGCCCTCTTTCTCCTCACATATTTTTCCTTGCTCAGCTTGCTCCTTTTCATGATACCTCTTCACTAGAGCGACCACCAAGAGCCACATGATAGAGTCTATACTAGGCTGCTTTCAGATTTCTTGTGCCAATGGAATCAATACAAAACTCTTCACTTTTGCCCCAGGCAGACTCTTCAGACAAGGGCAAAAGGCAGTCACCTCCTTCACTAAAATATCACAAGAATGATTTCTAGGCAGAATACTGAAATTCTTCTCTGAAATCTCTTGAGCCAGCTCCTGACATTTCAAATCATTATCAGCAGCACTGTCTTCCTTGTTCCTCCTCCTACATCCCATTGAGCAATGCTTAAAGCAGTCCACTGATTTCCAAACCCAAAGCACCAAAGTTCATATTACTCCAAACAAAAGCATTACTAGGCCTATCACAGCAATACCCCAGTCCCTAGTACCAACTTCTGTCTTAGTTCTGGTTTTATAGCTGTGAAGAGAACAAAGACCACCACAGTTCTTATGAAGAAAACATTTAACTGAGGAAGGCTCACTTACAATTTCAGAGCTCTTGTCCATTATCATCATGAAGGGAGCATGGCGGCATTCAAGGCAGACATGGTACGGGAACTGAGAGCACTGCATCTTGACCAGAAAGCAGCAGGAAGTTGACTGTCACACTGAGGGAAACTTGAGCAAAAGAGACCTCAAACCCCGCCCCCACAGTGACACACTTCCTCCAACAAGCCCACAACTCCTAATAATGCCACTGTCTTTGGGGGCCATTTTCTTTTAAACCACTGCAAAGCTCAAGTCATTGTCAGACCCCGAACCTAGGAGCAGTCCAAACTTAAAAATTATTTCCTAAAGAATTTTATTGTATGAGCTAGGGGTGTCAAAGTGGGGGAACTCACAGAGTTATCTAACCTGAGTTCATGGACTCTGGACCAACAGTTAGGGAGCCTCCATGGAACCAATATAGGCCCTCTGCATGTGTGCGACAGTTGTGTAGTGTGGTCTCCGTAAGGTTCCTAGCAGAGAGATCAGGATCTGTTCCTGATACTTAGCTGGCTTTTGGAACCTGTTCCCCGTGCTGGATTATCTAGCCCACCCTTGACTCAGGGGGAGGAGCTTGGTTGGCCCTGCCTCAACTTGATGCACCATACTTTGTTCAAGCCCATGGGAGGCCTGCCCCTTTCTGAATGGAGAGAGGGGAGGAGTATAAGGGGAGACAGATAGATGGGAAGCAGGGGTGGGGGTGAGGGATGATTAAGAGGAGAGGAGGGAGGGGAAACTGCAGATATA